TCAGGCAGCGGGATAATGAGACAGCATTATGATTACTTACATAAACCAATTTATTCAATTTATATAAACCAGTTTATTCATGACCCTGAGGTGAATAAAAATGTTCCTGCATTGTATATTAATTTTTGCATTTTTGCCTACAACCCGTACACAATTTCTGTTCGTAAATTGTGACGAGGCTATAATTGGATCCCTCCACGCAATTTCGAAGTTTTTCAATTGGAAAATATCCATCTCAGCCGATTCAAGACAGAAAGGTTGATTCAAAACCAATACCCAAATTCTCTTGAAACTTCCATGGAAGACGCCTCTTTCACTTGTCGTCATAATCATTACCGTCATCGACATCCAACCATCACTGCTTTATTTTATGCTTCTACACGTCTTCAGCTTCTCATCACCTGACCATCATAATCTTCATAGCCATTCATACACACTGACATTAATGAGGGTGGGAAACAAGAAGTCTGCATTTCAAGTACTTGAAAGTAAAATGGAGATTTGGTTCCAAACTTGTGGGAACTTGAGGTTGCTCTCCAATACTTAGCCTTGGCTTCATAAATGACGAAGGTCGGACAACCATCCCAGACGTCGACCGGATAACTAACCAATCGTAACTGAGGTCGACACTGACACTCACACCTAAACAAAGAATACTTTAACTGAACACTCCGAAAAACTGAGTTTGGGTGTTCGTGAAGAAACCACTGCTTCATCATGACCTCTAGCCTAAGAAGGAACGTTCGATATAATCGATAAGGCAGCTATAGGAAGAAGGGCACTGTGCCTTATATTTGATTTCTGGGGAACAAAAACAAAATAACAGTTAATGATCATCGGTTCTCGATCAATGATTCAAGGCAACAATTGAATGTAAAGCATTGCGTCAATTCCTTCACTCACGGACGAGTTTCTACGACGCATTCCAGGCTCATCAATAGAGTTATATTACACAAATAAACAGCATGAAATTATGTAATAAGTTTTGTGGCAAAATCGTTATTCCGTTAACTGTTTGTAACTGACGGACAAACTGTCTGATGACATTTTAGCAATCACTCAGACTATACGAGCCAGTACACTGGTTACACCGGAGGTTTTATACGAATATACAACGACTCTCTGAATAATAACCAGATATTTGTCGCGTCATCAAAGGAAATTACATTCGTTGGATTGGAATTATGGAGTGACCCAAGTAGACAGCGTGGGAGACCATGCCAAAATACTACGTTTGCCCATTCCCCAAAGATGATGGATGTTCCACAACCATTTTATTCAATCTTCGAATTGCTTTTCCGACGTAGATCGTATCACGGTCGTTGCAACTGATATTATAAACCACGTTCCTATTTTCGACAAAAACAAAATAACGTCCTTCGCAACACTAGGATGATCAACATAAGAAAATCCGGCATACAGAACTTATAAAAACTAGTACATTTACTTCTTCCTCAGTGAAAGCGAAGATAATATTTGTCACTATTATCGTCACTTTACGTCAAGTGAAATGATTGTGGAAAACACACAAACATTACCTCATTACGGAATGTTAAGTGATACATTTGTCACCATAGAGGAACTTTTCATTACTTGGACACTGGTTATCACCAGTGCATCAGAGGCGCGTACTAAAGGTCAAAACAGGCACCGCAATCCAGATATGCAACATACAGCATCAGGAAACATGAATTGTAACTTTAACCACAGACATGATCAGCTTCGGTTTGCTAATATCATAAACATTTGTAACTATGAAACGTGTAATAAGCGAAAGTTCGAAAAAATGAAAGGTAATCTGCCGCTACATCATATTACTGATGGCCTGAAGGAGCAACAGCAACTTTCTTAATGCAACGTTTAAGCCTACAAATGCATCAAGGAATGTCAACGAGAAAAGAAAAAATTTATAAGAAAATTGCTCATTAAGGGGGGCTACAAACTTCATCTAGTCTATTTAACTGCAAACACAAATGTCATTTAAAATTGTTCACCATTTCGTCATAAAATTTTAACTACTCAGCGAAAGCCATGGGAGAATTTCTCGATTTGTGGTACTGTAATGGAAAATCAAGGATTAAAATGCTGTGGTTTAAACGTGAGTGCTTTTTTTTAATTTTACTTTGTATTCGTGGCGCATCTAACGTATGGTTCGCATTCCGTCTCAGAGACAATGAAAATTCCGATTTGAGTTATGTCGCAATTGTTTCAGATATCATAAACGAAGCATTTCTTAATTATTGCAAAAGTTGTAAAGGCCTGCATCAAACCTCAGGAATAAAACGAGGTTAAGCGTCGTTATGCAATACCTATGCTAGACCCAAGTAAGGCATTTTTAAGGTATAGTCGGTTGCCAAAATTTTCAATATGTAGGGTTTAATCTTTCGTTCGAGCATTGTTATTTTCCTTGTAAGCAAAGTGTCCAACCGCGGAAAAGTAGATAGGTTCTGCAATCAACAGTATACATGATCTGTGTCTTGTGAGCTTACTAACGACCAACGTTTCTCTTACACTACGTTTGTTCCTAGAAATCACTTCTACCAAAATGGAGTTCCATGTGCATTGCCAGAAACCGTGAATATAACATTCAAGAGACCTGATTCTATTATCGGTCTCAAAAGCGACATAAGTTTATTTGGCCTAAAAAATGCAGCGAACGAAATATGACTTCCTGAGTAGCTTCCTCTATATTTTCTTCGCTGAGTGTCGAATTAAATAGTGTGATACTAATTTCGTAGATTCTATCATAATGTCATTTTCTCAAGCTTCGCATTTTGTTCAATAAGCCAAACCCATCATACCTGTCTTTTAAATTGCCGCTTGTCCAAATCCAAAAGTGATCAATGATGAAGCAGAATTTTTTCACAGTTAGCTGTCGAAAATTTCTTCTGACTCAGTCATCAAGATTGTACATTCCAGCTGCTCTGCAGGATCATAAGCGACACTTGCAATGTCTGAATGAATAAGTTGTCGCAATTCAGCTGAACTGCAATGGTTTTCAAAATGATAGATGGCAGCGATAACCTTCAGGATTTTAGTTACCATTTCTTACTTTTCGTCATACTTTTCTTTACACTAGAAGTTGTTGCAACCAAAAGAAAGATTTATCTCACTGAAGATTGAATGTCTAGCTCCTGCGCTGATGGTTTTACTGGAAACAACAACCAAAACGGTCTATTTACAGAAAAACTTTTATGAGTCACACGACTGATCAATATCGAAGTTGCGTCCTGCTTCCCACGGACTTTTGTCAAAGTAAAAAGACAAGTTCCCTTCGGAATTCCTTTTTACCTTTCACATAAGTCCCTACACTAGGGGTCAATTTAGCCGATCGTTCAAAAATGCCATCTTCGCTGTTTGTGAAAAATCAAATACCCTGGTGCGATATCTAGCACTAATAATCGATACAGAGGGTGAAATCCAGATACACCCAAGCGCTCATTGCTTCTACATCTGAACTCCTTCGTCAGCACAACACAGAAGTATAGCTGTAGCATTACTGTCCTTGCTCGATCTGATGTGTTTGTTTCAGCTACCTGCTTGACATCACTCATCAGCGTTATTAAAAGAAGCTGCATATTTACCTGTCTTGATTGAAAACCCGTAACCCATTTAGGGTTGTGATCAACCTACCTCAAAAGGAAAAGATCTAGGTAAGACTGATCATCCATCATCGCTTCTCCTTTTGGGTAGCGGAGGCAGACACGTCTGACAGAACACACGTTCCCGATCCTGTGCCAGAATCTCAGCTTCGGCAAAAGACAAATGAAGTCTGGAACAGACTCCTTCTTTATATTTGCATCAGGCTAATCTTGGCTGTCCCCTGGGCCTTCTGCCGGTCGGATTTGCAAGGAACAGTTGCTTAGCCTTCCTTTCTGAAGACATTCGCAACACATGCCCAAGCCATCGCAGCTGTGACTTCTCAATCTGGAGAAGCAAAGGCTGTATACCAAGGCTCTTCTGGGTGTCAGTATTCCGGACTATGTCGAGATGCCTAAGGCCAAGACCGATCTTTAGCGTGAATTAATCGCATTTAGCAACGAAAAAAACTGCGACACAGGGGATAACACCACGGAAGGACATTGGAATGAAAGAAATAAATCAAAGCTTCAACTGATCCAAGAAAGTGCCTCCAGCAATGACATGCCCTCCGTAAGCTGCGCTAACCGAGTTTGTATAAAATGTGAGCACGAAAGAAAGAAATGCAGTTGCTTCCGGGACAAACTTTTGGCTTGCCATGCGGCGATTTCAAACTCCGTAGTAACTATGCATCCACTCAACACAGGCGCAGCCTATCTCATGAATTAGATCAGTTCCAGTACCATGAGTGTTTTTAAGGTGTGTGTGGCTGACACTCTCTTTCGTTGCATGCTGTAATACTCCCACAATTACTGCGTGCCCAATCTACTCTGTTACTTTCCTAACGAATTGATGGTAGAATATGCTGAACTTTTGCTCGATTATTGTCGTAATCTTGTATCAAATGAC